TTGAAACTGCCAAGGCTATTATAAAAGGTTTTCAAATGTTTCAAACCAGACACTATGGGAGTTGTATGAAGAGTGGGAAGAGCAGTGCAGGCGTTTTAGGTCAAAATGAAATTGAGGTTTTAAGGGTTTCAACTTAGAATGATTCTCAGTTTCTTCAACACTAACTACCCTCACAGGTAAAGGACCACCTAAACAGGCTCAGAGTATTAAATTCGTGGGAGGAGAGGGTGGAGGCAAAATTCTAGCTCTGAGTTCAATGTTTCCCTTTTTAAACTTTGCCTCGATATTTGCATTTTATTTTCAATTGTCTGGACCTATTTTTGCTGCCTTCGCCTTTTTTGGTGGGAGGGGTTTGAGCTCATTATGAAGAACTTAGGCCCGGTTCAGATGCCAAACTTTTCAATAGCCGAACCTAATACATTGAATTAAGTACACAGGGGCGTTGCCAGGATTTTTCAAAGGGGGGGTCACCGACAGGGACACCATCCGGGGATAGCCGACTATATATGGTTTATACCGCTGCTCTCCCTCGTGCATCAGCGGGCTCAGTCGTATTATCGCGGCATGTAGGCCCATATTAACTAAAGACAAGAGCCATTGACGAAAATACCTTACAAAAAAGAAATTTTAAAAAAGGGGGCTTTTCAACAATGGCTTTTACGGCCAAGATATTGTCATGGCATTATCGCCACCTGAATATTGTAGGTTGTTTGCTCAAAAGAAGGCCTACCAAGGGGGGGTCACAGGCACCTCAGGACCCCCCACCCCCCCAATTAGGAACGCCTGTTTCAATTTGGAACTGTTCAGCCGTTCTTTTCGTCTAGCCTGGCCGAACATTTCCCCTGTAACGACTTTGGAACAGCTTTGATTCAGACGACGAACTTTTCATGTACTGAGCCTAAAGCATAAATTATTATAACGTATTTTGTAAGCAGTTTGACCGAAATCAGCATTTTTCCCTTTTTGAGCTTAGTTCAGCTGCGATTAAGATCGGCGTCTGAATCAATTCAGCCGGTCTAAATAATTTGGGTCGGCCTTAATTCGAATTGGGTTCGGCTCATGAAAATATCGGCGTCTGAACCTTGCCTTGCCGGTGAGCTTACCTCCGGTTTAGCATTTGCATTATTGGAATGCAGTGCCACACATCCACTGCTCGGAAGAAACTTTTTCCTGTCCGGATTGAAGGTAAATCTCGGCACGCTGAAAGCGTCGATGATAGTGAAAGCTTTATCACTGTCGTCCTCCGATGACTGACTACACTCCTGTACAGCTTGCTCGGCGATTTCTCGATCGACGAGGGAGGAAGATAATGGTTGTTTCTGAACGCCTTCTACAATTTTATCGAGCCAATCCTCACGTGTAAGGGTCGTACTTATCTGCTAGTATCATGAGATCTGGCACAGGATAAACCCTTAGGGAGTGATCCTGAGTCCAATATATGGGCCTCACATAAGGAGGAATAGGGCACAGATGAGCTTGAGCTAAGACGGTTTTCATTAATTGAACAGGTATGTCTTTTAAGTCCGATGGCAGATTAGTTGAGTTACGGCACATCTTGTTGATGAGGTCCTCACGTAATACAATGATCTCCTGTGTGCAGTACTGGATCCTGCAAGGATTGGTTGTAAAGATACTGAGGGGGATTTTTGCAGTGATTGCTGAAGTAAAAAGTGAAGGAATCGGAGGCCGTGGTAGGATGTTGCCTTGCCCTGGATCTTGGGTGCCTGGCACAAACACAAAGCGACTGTTCTCTATTAACGGTGGAAACTCAGCCACTAGTTTGGCAAATGCTTGGAAAGATTCTTTAAGAGTGTGATAATGATGAGGCCCATGTGGCTCTGATGTGAAGTTACCGCACAGGATGAACAAGGCTGGAGGTGCTGCAGAGTACCCTGAGAACAGAGCCCGCAGCTTCTCCATTACTCTCGGCTGGTCTAGCCAAACATCTGACAAGATCACAAACATGGCATCGTGATTCTCTCTCTCAATTGCTTTAAGCTTTGCTGAAGCTTTCGGGCTGGTAGAAGATGGTCCACCAAAAAAGTTGATGTTGCCAAAGTGATTTCTGGTCACCTGTCCTGGTTCAGCTGGTGGAAAACCCAACGCTTTGACATGAAAAATACCATCTTCATAAGCACCTTCTGCAAGCACAAAGCAATTTTCAGTGTAAAGACCAGTGTGGAATGTAGCCTGTCTCAAATTCAGTTCCACCACCCCAGTTGGATCTTCAAGGAAGTATTTCCCCTCCTTGATTTGCGTCATCATGCCCAGTACAATAAGCTGCCCGAGTTTAGCTGTGCTTCCAAGGAGAAACTCCACTGGCTTGAGAGCAAATTTTTCTGCCACTTGATTCTGATTGGCTCCTTCAGCCACAGGTGAAAACAACTCATGTCTCATGGTTCTCTGGTATAAAATATTGTACCTCTCTCTGAACACCTGGTCAAAGAATAGACAAAAATCAGTGCATGAGTAAATTAATTTGCAAAATGTTTATTGCCCCAACCCACCTCTGGGTAATATTTAACAAGTGGCGATGCCTCAGTTAATTACAGCCCCATCCTAAATATAGCAAAATATAAGGAACTTGAAAAATAAGGAACGTAAGGAACTTGAAAAATTACATAATTCCCTGTCCCAACAGGACTCCATTATATTATGACACAGGCAAAACAACAAAGGGGTAGCCAGGGAGTTGACGTTTTCTTTAGCCGTCAGTATCATGCTTCTAACTGAGAAGCCACGCTCACACTCAAAATACAGTGTAGCTGGGGCAACGCAGCCCTGGGCCTCTAATGAGAGCGAGGCTGAAACAAAACAGAAAAAAAATTTTGCTTTGTTTGGCTGTTACAAAAAGACTTCAAAGTTGCCTCTGCTGAATTTTATTGAAACTGCCAAGGCTATTATAAAAGGTTTTCAAATGTTTCAAACCAGACACTATGGGAGTTGTATGAAGAGTGGGAAGAGCAGTGCAGGCGTTTTAGGTCAAAATGAAATTGAGGTTTTAAGGGTTTCAACTTAGAATGATTCTCAGTTTCTTCAACACTAACTACCCTCACAGGTAAAGGACCACCTAAACAGGCTCAGAGTATTAAATTCGTGGGAGGAGAGGGTGGAGGCAAAATTCTAGCTCTGAGTTCAATGTTTCCCTTTTTAAACTTTGCCTCGATATTTGCATTTTATTTTCAATTGTCTGGACCTATTTTTGCTGCCTTCGCCTTTTTTGGTGGGAGGGGTTTGAGCTCATTATGAAGAACTTAGGCCCGGTTCAGATGCCAAACTTTTCAATAGCCGAACCTAATACATTGAATTAAGTACACAGGGGCGTTGCCAGGATTTTTCAAAGGGGGGGTCACCGACAGGGACACCATCCGGGGATAGCCGACTATATATGGTTTATACCGCTGCTCTCCCTCGTGCATCAGCGGGCTCAGTCGTATTATCGCGGCATGTAGGCCCATATTAACTAAAGACAAGAGCCATTGACGAAAATACCTTACAAAAAAGAAATTTTAAAAAAGGGGGCTTTTCAACAATGGCTTTTACGGCCAAGATATTGTCATGGCATTATCGCCACCTGAATATTGTAGGTTGTTTGCTCAAAAGAAGGCCTACCAAGGGGGGGTCACAGGCACCTCAGGACCCCCCACCCCCCCAATTAGGAACGCCTGTTTCAATTTGGAACTGTTCAGCCGTTCTTTTCGTCTAGCCTGGCCGAACATTTCCCCTGTAACGACTTTGGAACAGCTTTGATTCAGACGACGAACTTTTCATGTACTGAGCCTAAAGCATAAATTATTATAACGTATTTTGTAAGCAGTTTGACCGAAATCAGCATTTTTCCCTTTTTGAGCTTAGTTCAGCTGCGATTAAGATCGGCGTCTGAATCAATTCAGCCGGTCTAAATAATTTGGGTCGGCCTTAATTCGAATTGGGTTCGGCTCATGAAAATATCGGCGTCTGAACCTTGCCTTGCCGGTGAGCTTACCTCCGGTTTAGCATTTGCATTATTGGAATGCAGTGCCACACATCCACTGCTCGGAAGAAACTTTTTCCTGTCCGGATTGAAGGTAAATCTCGGCACGCTGAAAGCGTCGATGATAGTGAAAGCTTTATCACTGTCGTCCTCCGATGACTGACTACACTCCTGTACAGCTTGCTCGGCGATTTCTCGATCGACGAGGGAGGAAGATAATGGTTGTTTCTGAACGCCTTCTACAATTTTATCGAGCCAATCCTCCAGCTCAACTTCAGTCAGGGGGCTCAGTACTTCTGTCAGAAACTTTGTTGCCTCTGTTTTGAGCGAGAGGCCGTGTAATTTGAACACAGAAACTATCTTTCCCCGAACTGCGGAAGCCATGTTTTTTTATTTGCAGTCGTAAAAGGCGCGAAAACGTTCTCGTGCCAATCCCATTGCAGTAAACATGGGAGAGGGGGACTGGTTCGATCATCAAGTGCGGGACGTGGGTTAAGGACTTGTTAAGGACGTGGGACGCGGGTTAGCCTGCGATCATGCCCTCTCCCTTTGTCTCAGTAAACTGCTTTCGGGCCAAAGAAGCCAAAAAAAAAATAAATAAATAACGCGTGATCTCAGGTTAGACGCGGGTCTGGCCATGTGGACAAAATTAATGTTAGCGTGAGATTTTGATGGTGTACGCACTCGGGGAAGAAAAGTTGAATAGCTGAGGGTGGCCCAACCTAGGGGGCGTCTGGGGTCATTCGATACGCTCCCCGAGAGCAAATTAATACACAGTAAATGAAATAGTTAGTGGTCTATTTTACCCATCTGGTGTTGTCGGTAAGGTACAAAGTTTAAAGGAAAAAAGGCCAGGGAGGCCATATGAATTATGGAATGATAAAAGGATAAAGGAAATACTAACACAAAGACACTACAGTATATAGTGCGAAAAATCTATCAGTCATCCCGATGAAATGATAAAAAACGCGTTTTCAGAAAATAAAAATATATATCTAGCCGAATTTTTGAAAACATACCTCAAAACGGACCAGAATATTCGCACAGGAACCTGGCGATAGCCAGCTCGTCACTGCAGTGAGAAAAAACATAGGAGACTTGCTGTCCTGGTTGGTCTCATTGTCAAGCTCAGTCCCTGAGCTAACTCGCCATGGGTTGGGAAGGGGCCTCCATGTCAGTCCCTAGGGGGGCAGAGTGCTGCAAAAGCGTGGTACTGTCCGTTAGTCTTGCTCTGGGAGAGTCAGTGCGCTCGTCATGTCTGCCTTTAGTTTGTCATGTCAAATTCTCTTCTTAGAACTTGGTTAAGTCTCAAGCATCCTCTGTCATTTAGAGCCTTCAAGCAGCTAGAGTGTATGGCCAAGTCCAGAGTGTCTTTTTGAGGGACTTGAATGTTTCTTTTGCTAATCAGGAACCAAGAAGAGAGTCACCTTAAGAGAACCATGAGTAAGAGCTGAGTTTCTTGACAATATTTACTTTAGTTGAGTCGGTTTAAGGTGTGTGGCCTCCAGGAGCCCGCTGGTGCGGTTTTCATAAATCCGGCTAGAATATCTATATATACAGTACCACAAGTGTAACTATATATATATTTCAGCTGTACATGTACGCACACGCACGGGCGTATGTGCGTAAATGGACGCTACACTCCTGAATACAGGATGGTAATAAACTGGGATATTGGGGGGGAAATTGACAAGGTACGGGATTATTAATTAAAAAAGAGACTTCTGGGATGTTGAGCAAAGTTTTCGGAGCATGCATAGGTTTAATAATAAAAATGTGACATATATAAAGTGAACCAAAGAATAGAAATTATCAGATTGACATTTTTTTTCCTAACCAGTGTGCCCTCTGAGATGGTCTGTCTAAGTTTCTAGGGGATACGAAGACTCCCCCTATTCCCAAAGGGACCTCGATCCTTCTGGGCAAGCGGAGAAGGAATGCGAAACACATGAAATTGCATCTTTGATATCAGCATAAATCCTTCTGCTGTAGAAAGGAAATGGCCGTTGCATGGGATGCACAACTGAAATATAACGGGGGTGGAGGGGGGGGAGGGGACGGTCTCAAATAATTTCTTTCGGCCCTTCGAGCCTCGGTTTGGTCTAAATATAAGAAAGACCGGGGCCCCCTTGGATCCGCCACTGACGGTGATTTGTAAAGTGAAGAGTCACATATCGGATAGGTGTTCGTGTCGGCAGGAAAAGTTATTCGGTGTTGAAAGATTTTTTGACCCGGACTAGCCACGGTCGTAGCTAGCTTTTTTGCAATATCGCGGGTGCCGAAGACACGAGCCTTGTAGGGAGGTCTCGCCCAGAAAATTTTCAAATTTGGAGGCTGCGATACGTTATTTTCAGCACTTGTCATGAAATATATATGCCCCCGAAAAATCGACCTCAAACATGAAAATGGCAAACAATTGCAAGTTACTATTACCAGAATAACTGAGTCTAAAGAAGACAAATCCGTCCACAGGCTTGATTTGTCTGGCTCAAAAAAACCGGGGGGGGGGGGACAACTGTTCCCCCCTCTCGCCCGCTAACTACGGCTCTGCTAGCTAGCCTTTACAACAAACAACTTTTTATGACTCGCTGGTGGTTAAATAACTTTCAGCTCCTAGCTTATAATTCTTTCTTGTGGTAGATTAGTGTTACACCCATTTTTATACCAGCCAGAAAACGATCTGCTTAGTGTAAACTAATGCTGACGTAAGTCTAATCTGCTTGGTTAAGACAACCTTATTAGCAAGAAACCTTCGAAATAATTACTTTGTCAAAATAGTTTTTCTACTTAAGTTTTCACTATTAACCTTAGGTCAACTGACCAATACAAAACAAGGAGAACAATATAAAAACTACAATATATACTAGTAAACAGACTTTCTCATATGAACAGATAGGAAAGCACTAAAATCACAGTTTCAAGATCTAAGGTTGTTGTCGAGTTACAGAGGGTGTTATTTTAAGCTTCTTCATTGAAAATGATTGGCTAAAACTTTTCCATAAATTAACTACGGACGTGACTGGAACCTCAGAGGACAAATTAAAAATTAATACAGTTCGCGGTAGAGAGCAGAAATTACAACAATAGATGTTTACTTTAACCAACACCTGTGAATTGGGAGATATTCCATACCATTGTTACAAATATTTTAAGTTGCAAATAAAAACCATAAACTAATTGGATCGAAAAGACGGGAAACAAGCTAGAAATTAGCCAAAATGAGGTCATTTCCTGGAAATCTAGATGAGGAATCAAGTGAAGGTTGAAATATCAAACTATGCGATATTTTTAAATGTAAGCAAGCCTGTTTACATGGAGGTGGGGGACCCCAGATAGGTGAGGTAGCATGTGGCGGGTCACCCCATCTATCATGTAAACTTCTCAAACTCATTAATAATTCATAAAGAAAATTCAAAGGAAATTAATGTTTAATGAGTGTTTGGATATCTGATGAAAAACTGCTCATTTTTGCATCCTTAATTTCTCCTTCAAAAATGATTTTGTTTGAGAAGAAATATCAAACATTCGACACAGTGTTTCATCACCAGATGAAACACCTCGAAGTTCGTCAAAAATACTCCGCTGCGCGTCGTATTTTCAACTCTCTTCTCGGTGTTTCATCTGGTGATGAAACAGTGCATCTCATGTTTGATATATTACATGATTAAATTAAAATGAGGGATTATATGGACAGGCGGGTTACCTCACCTACCTGGGGCTCCCCACCTCCATGTAAACAGGCCCTAAAGGCGCTTTCCATTTTGTCAGAATTGACCGGCCAGACCATTCCCGTCGTAATTAGAATTCCACTTTCTATTTTTTCTATTATTGCTATTTTTATTGGATACTCAGGCCACTTAAGACATGACCACCTAATTAAATATGGATATTTTAGTAAATGCTTTTTAGAACGGTTTGCTTCCATCAGTGCTCCTGAAAAGTGAACTACGAATGTGGCTCAACGAAAAAATCACGTGAAACGGGATTTCAAATAACACATGACATCGCTTCGTCAATGACGTTACAAAATACGATTTCTAAAATGGGGAAGGGTTGCAAACCTTAATCTTAGGACTTTTCACTACCAAAATGTTACATAAACAGTGTAAATTGTAAATTCGCCTTGTATGATTGGAAATGGTATTTATCCTATTAGCTATTTAACTAATTAATAAGTCACGTGACTCTTTTCCCTTTATTTAACGTAAACACACATACAAGGCGAATTTATAAGAACCTTTTTTCATAGCCTCTGAAATGTACCTAAAAGAACTTGTTGCTCTTTCGTTATCCTCTCCTCGTTTTAGAGTAAATATTTTGACTGTTAATTCTCAATTATCAGTTACGTGACGAAAATTTGAGCTTCTAAAATGCTCTCATATTGCTAAAGCCATTAAGCTACATTTGTAGTTCAATTTTCACGATCATTGATAGAAGCAGACCGTTCTAAATAGCATTTTATCAAAATATGCATATTTAATTAGATAGTTATGCTTTAAGTGGCCTGAGTACCCAGCAGGAGCCTCTGCGAAGGAGAGAGGCACGAAAGAGTCTGATGCAGCAGGCTTCATACCAGTTCAAGAAAGTTCAGTAGTACACGGGGTAAGGGTAATAATTTGCCTTCCTCCTTACCGAACATGAAGGTCATATGCGCTGGCTTAAGTAAGACGGGAACCAAGTCCCTGGCTAAAGCTCTCAGGATTTTAGGCCTCAGGGTCTATGATCATTTGGAGCACAGAAAATTCCACTACAAACAATGGGTCGATCTTTATGGTGAAGGAAAATTACCTGATTTTGGCCATATGTACGAAGGAGTTGATGCCGTTATCGCTCTTCCAGTGGCGTTTTGGTATGAAGAAATTTACGCTGCCTTCCCTAACGCAAAAGTCATTCTATCGATAAGAGATAATGAAGAGGTGTGGGTACAAAGCTGGGCAAAGCACATTGAACACGCTACAACCTATGGGGGATATGGAGCTCTAGGTAGAGTCTTCCTTGACTGGCTTGTACGAGTATTTGCCCATAAAGTTCACATTCTGATGAAGTCTTTCATAGATCCGGCTTGCGTGGCAGCGTTTGGAAGTATGAATCCAAAATCTACTGTTGTAGCCAAGAAGAGGTATCGTGAACACAACGAGCGAGTGCTAGCAGTCATCCCAAAAGAAAAGCTGTTGATTTACAACGTGAAAAAAGGCTGGAAACCTTTATGCAGGTTCCTTGGTTGCAATGTTCCCGATCAGGAGTTTCCAAGCGTTAATGAAGGACTATCATTTGCCAAGGGTCAGGTTTCAACCAGACTTCAACTACTCAAGCGGAATATAATAATATTTTTGGGTACCTCAGTTTTAATAGTTTTGCTTCTTAGTTTTCCCTTCCTATCTGGTATTAAGAACTAAAGTATTAAATTAAAGCTTTCCATGACAAAAGAGATGTAAACTGTTCAGTCCTAAACTTTGGCACATTGTTCTTTTATTTTTTGCTATTATGCTAATACTTAATGCTCAAAATTTTTGCTATTACGCTCCTATGGCCGAGCCAAAATGATCGAAAATTCCCTCAATACATACACAATAATAGACACAAAAATTTCAGGGGCACCCAACGACTGTCTTCTGTGAAATATCTGTTCTGAGAAGCAAAAATTGCCTAGAATGTTCTAAATCTGGATCTATAGATCGTTTTCACTGTCACGTAACAAAAAATTAAGTTGGAAACCGTCCAGTGGAAGAAGCCAAGAAAATGAAATGTCAGGTCTCAGGTCTTTGTGGCCCACAGTTTCTGAGTTATTTACCGAAGCGTTTCACGCACCTTTGTAGAGCTTTGTATGGAGACGCCATATTGGTGCACCGTTTTGGTGCACCAATATGGCCGCCGGAAATCAACCAAAACATCTGGAGATCACTTTTTCTACAAAAACTATTTCTTTTCACTCGACAACTAGCATACGTACGCATAAACATATCTTCTAATACTTGAAGTGTTTATACTGCTGAAAATCAAGAGGAGAGACTTTTTTCAACGAGACAGCATTCCTGTTTTGGTGTCACGCACTGTGAAAACTCGGAAGTTCAAATTGCTGTATTTTCGGAATGAAACATGCTACGGAAATGGAAACTTGTACAAAGATTTACTTTTTGTTTATCTTCAACCTAGTGTAAATAAGAATTCGTAAAACTTCGCTATTTTGACTTTACAATTTGATGACGTCACAGTGAAAACCATCTATTCAAAAGAAAGCCTGATCCCTGGGCGTTTGTGGGAAGCAACATTGAATTGGGGGAAGGAGTTTTCTTTCCGCAAAGGCGTCGTTTTGGAAATAGTTTTGTTGCGTAGGAAAGTGGACATGATGGGGAAAACTTTCTCAAGTAGTTTTGTCCGGGATTGTAGCTAAAATGTCATTTACAACGAGTATATTATGCTTTGGAAGATTGTAACACATTCTTCGGTCTTCCGTCGGTCTGTTTACTGTACATCGATTTCCTGTGGTTTTTGGTTTGACCAAAAATAGTAAATGATAGTAAATTTGATAGTAAATGTACTAGATTTACCGTTTGCTTGACCTATGGCGATATATTGCTGAGTATGTATATAAATAATGTTAAATAAACGTTGAATTACCTTACCTGTGGAATTCTTGTCGTCCTTTTGTCTCAAAAGCGGTTTTTTTTTATTTTCACGCAATGTCCACTCTAAAATCCAGATATAAGATCTCTGATTAAGCGTTGAATTCTGTACGTCCTTCTCTTTTATTTACAATAGCCACCAGCAGAGAACAGACACAGCCGTAACCGGTGCAGCAAGCATCGGTGGTCCGTTATCTTAACATGCCTATTCCAGAGAGCCGAAAAACAAGTAAACAAATATAAATGCGGTAAGCTGTCTTCAAAGGCAACCTCGTTCCCAGGTTCCCCGGGGAATCTACACTGAGATTCATTCACCAATCACAACACCAGAAATTATTTGCGTCATGGCATTAACATTACAACCAATCAGAGGCTTTTCCCCAACATTCCGGGGGAAGCGGGAACAACAACAAACAACAACAACAACAAATTTTATTGACAATTGGAAAATAACTAATTACATTACTTTCCCACCCGCAAATAGCTTAAAAACTAATCGAGGCGGGGGGAGCTGAAGACATATTACAAAACAAGATTTATATATAGATGGACTAAACAACAGTGAAGACACTACTATACAGTAAATAGAATTTAAACTAACATAAAACAAGGCAAGTACATAACGATTACGAAGAGAGGCTAACCTAAAGTATTAAATAACTTAATAAGACGGGAGACTTCGACATAATCATCTTCTGACCGCAAGAAATTTAGTAATAATTCCTTTATTTTTTTACGAGAAAAAAAACAAAAAAATAATAATTTATGCAAATGTCCACCGGAACACGATTAACATCGGCGATTCACAGACGCCTCCTCTCCCGATTTTTTCTGGGGGAGAGGGGACTCCTGTACACAGGCTATCTTCCTTATAATGACACAAAATAGAAACTGAGTAAGAGTTTCAGTTCATGGCAATTTCAACCATAAGAGCTATTTTCGACAGTTTGTAAAATGTCTGTTTATTGTCAGTTCGAATCTGACGTTTGCCTAGTTGAGACTATTTGGAAGGTTATTTTTAAGGTCTCTCTTATTCTTTAAGTTAATGTTTAATTTGTTTCATTGGAGTACATCTAGTCGCCTAATGTAAGGGAATCGGGATTCCGGAATGCAGGAAATTTTTGCTTGCGTAATCCGGAATCCCACTAACGATTGGAATCCAGAAATCACGGTCCAATGACAAAAACTCTGGAATCCAGTAACTGGAATCCGGAATCCATAGCGTGGAATCCAGAAACCAAAACTGTCTTAGATTTCCTTACATGACTTATATAGGGTGAGTCTAGGTTAGCCAGGATTTTGTCCACGAAAAGTACCGACAAAAGGGAAACGAAATTTGAGCACAAATACGGCACCGAGCGCTTAAATGAAGGGTATAGCGCCAGCTCAAGAGAGTTTTTCTCTGCTGTTAAAATCAGAACGTTTTACATGTCAAACTCTTTCGACAGGTTTTACGTCAGTAGTGGTTGTTATGAGGACATTTACGGTCGCTACAGCATCCAGAAAAGAAGCAATGATGACTTCCACTCCTAATTTGAGGTTACCGACTGGCCCGGAAAGACTGGTGACAAACCCGTGTGACACTTGCGTCAAATAGAAGAACTATGGGATTGAGGATGCTTCCTGTCAATATATCTTGGATCTCTTAGTTCTTCTGAACACGCAAAGAGGACCGAGTACTAGCTCTGCGTCTGCAGTCTCAGCAAGGAAGACAAGGCAAATCGGAGATCACCCACTTCTTGTAACGTCATTGGAAGGCCGGAGAGATCTGCGAAGAACAACGAAAAACAGCAACTGAGGTGACAAGGAATTAAAGAACCAACAAGAACGCTCTTAAAAGGGCAAGTCTCGCTAGCTTGCTTGGAGATTAGATAAGAAATGAGGAGGCCATTAATTCTACACGAAACATTTCCTCGCTAAAAGTTTTTCACTTCCTACTTTATCCACGGTCGAGTATTCTTCAGGTTATTTACTTTTTATATCGTATTCAACGATTTGTTCCTGAATTGATTCAGTACGCGTGTGTAAATACATGAAAATCAAGGGACTCGATTCGAGAGAAATTACATCATTGCCAAAGAGCAGAAACGCGTGATGAACATGGCGCGTCATTTCAATCATCGCCGAAAATAAACCACATGCTCGTCACAAGACTTATTTGCATACAATGAAAGTTTACAACACCCGACCAGTTAGCCTCACCTTCGAAGTTCTGCATTAAGATTCTCCTTTTTTTCGACCATTCAGAGGTTTTTGGGTTCCAAAGTCATCAACGATTTAGAACGATAGAATTCGTGGACCGACCTGTTCCGGAAAAGCTCGACATCGTAAACGAAACGCTTGCGTATTTTTGAGTTTCGCAGCAGACTAATGAAAATTTCCAGGGTTTGTTTTTTTTTTCTGTCCCATTATAAATTATCTTTTAGCCTGCGTCGAAGACGCAATTTAACCTCCATTGACCAGAGTTTAGTTTCGTCTGTGACGCACGCTAATCGTTTTGAAGAATAAAACGATAGGAAGAAAGAGTTGACAGACAGAATGATGAGTATGGGAGAAGGAAACTCTCTCTCCCTGGTGGCTTCCGTGCTAGTAAGGGAGGGTTAGCATGTGTTCAAAGAAAGGGGCTCGGAGAAGAGAAGCAAAGAGAGCCACAATGGTAGAAGCGACGATATTTCTTTGTGGGGAAGGGGAAACTTCTTCCTATCGCCTTATCAGCACCTAGTGACTGATTTAAGGCAAAGAATAACTTAACGCGTCCATTACAAAGCAATCTACTTGTAGCTTGGCGTATAGCGTAGAAACACTACTGATGAGGCAACTGCCGCAGCAATCATCCGCCACCACAGATTGTGTTTAAAAAATGCCAAATTCTCAGTATCATTTATGCCTTAATAAAATTGACTGCCATAGTTTACCTTGTTGGATTGCAGACGGCAAGCAATGCGGCAAAGGAACGTCGTGATACACAGCAAAGCAACACATCGCGGGACAGAAGAACTTCTTGTGTTCGTTGGCGTCGTAGCATGTTCTCGCTGATACTGAATCTACAAATTAGCAAAACAATCATTCCATCAGATCAACCACAAATAACCACTCGAACAGAGTTGCAAATAACAGTCGGTCAACGGACGATGTCTAAAATTGCCCGTGTCCGAAGAAATCCTACTTACGGTCAGATTTGATGACCGGACAGATCAAATACTCAATCATTAAGACTGTCATTTTGTAGCTGAAAATTTGCGCAGTAAATGTAATTAAAGAAATCAGAAGTCAACATAATCTATGCCCGACAACTTTTCAAGTTTGTCCAACTAAATTAGTGACCACATCAGATATGTCTTCTTTCTACAAAGAAAAATTATTTTCAGGCCTGCTCGAACGTCCTTTGTTTCGAGCAGAGGGCATCCGATCTTTTTGTTAAAGAAAGTTTACTAAAAAAAAAAAATTAATGTGCGACAGCGGAAGTGAGTATTTTTTCTACACTAATGAAACTGCTCTTTTGATGATACAACGAATAAGTGCTCAAGAGAAATGAGAATTACTTCAGCACGTATTAAACTCTATCCACCCCAAAAAACTGTCTAGAGTTATTAAACTGTTTAACAAGGTTGCAAGACTTTCTTTATTTGAATCAAATGCCCACATAAAATTTCACTCTTCTAATTCGAAAATAGAGTAGTTTCAAACTTACTTTTCTTCATGAGGCGATCGATTGCATCCTCCAAATGAAATTTGTACTCGGTGATTAAATCCGCGTTAACGAGTGGCTTTTG